TATAATTTACTCTTTAGCTAGGCGATGAGACTTCTAGATGGCTCTACTGATTATACTGAGATACAGCTAATATATCAATTAATTTCTAATTGTTTTACACAGTTTTCTAAGATTTTCCTTTCCTCTTAGTATTCACATCCTTGTGTAATCCCCTCCCCTTGAGTGAGGGCTGGGCCACACTCAAATGAATACATCAAAAGAACAGAATATAGCAAAGTGATGAGATATAATTTCCTAGATTAGGTTTTGAAGACAATGACTTCCATCATTCACCATCTCTCTCTGGCTTTATTGGCTTGCTGGCTCTGATGAAGCCAGCTGCGCTATGGAGTTCCCAACAGCTGATGAAGAACTGAGATCTTCTGTTCTATAGCCCAAGAGGAACTGAATTTTACCAACAGCCAAATGAACATGCTTGAGAGGTCATTCAGTTGAGCCTCATGATGACAACACCTGATTGCAGCCTTGTGAGAGACCCTCAACCACAGGACCCAGCTGAGCCGTGCCCAAATTCCTGATTCACAGGATCTGTGAGATAATAAATCGTGTTGTTGTAAGCCACTAAGTTTCAGAGTAATTTCTTACATGGCAATAGATAATTAATACACCAACAGTGATAACGCCAAAGAAATGAAGTTTAGGTGCATCCTTGTCCCATGTCCCAATCAGGAATCTATTGGCAGATGACCCGGAGTTTGCTACCTGAGCTAGAAATAGAACTCTTTCATTTGTATGTGTTGAGATTTCTGCTAGGAAGATATGTCTGCTAAACTCATTGTAAACCGTACACAAGAATAAGAACATGCATTAGGATAAGAATAGAGCTAATAAAAAAAAAAATGCAAGGATTTTAAGTACCAGAAAAAATTTAACTGATTTTAGTGTAAGTGTAATAAATTCAAATCACTGTTATTTTGTGATGTGTTTTGTCTATTTCTTAAGGAGTTTAAGACATTAAGAGTTTCTAATATAGTAGATTCTAATATAGTATATTAGATTTTAATAGCAGTGGAGTACAGTATAAGAGATTGTAATAGTAGTAGATTTAAATCGAGTTTTGGATAGTTCGAATAAATAAGTTTATGTCAATGTTCAAATGTTTGGGGAAATGTTGATTTATTAATTATGTAAATACAGTATAGATAAATACAGGAACGTTAATTTTTAATTCTTGAAGGACTATTACATTTAATATTTTCATTGGATAAATAAATTGGACATTAGGAGTATTCTTCTTGATATCCTAAATCTCTTTGGACGTTAAGGAATCTATCGATATTGGTTATTAAGTGAGGGACTTCTAAAATTTTAAATGCCTGTGAACTGTCCAAGCCTCATTAAGCTTCCTTCTCCCATTATAAGTGAGAGTGACTTCTAATGACTTTCAATGTTACACTTTCATTTCCTTGTAACACATATTCATATCTAAGATAATTTCTGAATTATTTTTTAATGGTAATTATTTAAACTAGATAATATCAACTATTGGTCAAAAATCAAAGAAGAGTTTCTTGGATATCGGGTGTGTTGTTGAACTGGTTATTGCTATGGGTGACTAGAGCCCAGTCCTACCGGAAATCCTGTGCAGAATCGTGTAGAATACACATAAACTTGTCTCTCTGAAGGACAGGAAGCCAAGGCTTTTAGCCAATGACTATCTCCATTTGGTTGAGAGTTGTACTTGGGAATCCTTGCACTTCTGGCTGCTTAGGAACTCTAATTCAAATGAAAGAATTCAGAATAACTCATTCTTGAGTGATTTTTTAGTTAGATAATAGTGGCCTATATTTACTTTGCAATCTCCCATGTTATATTCAAATTCACTTTAACAAATAAATACTTTTCTTTCCTCACAGAAACTAGAAGTAAACAATGGCAAGGATTGTAGAAGATTGTGTGATATTTCAGATAGTGACAGATCCAGAGAAACTTCTTCCCAATCTCTTGGGGGTGGATATTTTTCTTTTTGGCAGGTATTTAATTTGTGTGACATTCGTGGCCTCTGCCCATGCCTTTGCTCCAGCCCTAGAGAAGAAACAGTGATTTATTTGATAGTTGAGTTTGGAAGGAGAAACTAGGCAGCATAGTTTATTCCTCTTGCCTCTCATTTCTCTTGGGATTTAGCGGTACAGAGAAAACAATTTGACTCCTCCTGCCATAAGTTTTACAGGGGCAGGCCCCTCCACTCAGGATGCCTGTGGTGGTAAATTGTTCCCTGTGACTGAATGAGCAAGTATGAGGAAAGCTGCTGGTCTGTAAGCCAGTCTAAGTAATAAAGGTGATATTTTGATTTCTGTCTCCTTGATTCCTCTTTTTCTCTTAATTAGTACAAAATGTGGTTATGAAAATAAGGATGTTATCTATTATTCCTGTCCCAACATTGTCCTACTTTGAAATCGGAAACATAGTTTGAAACTTCCTGACAGACTTTTCCTATTTCGTATATAGTCACTCACAAATGACGATTGTAGTGTTACGTAACTTCTTGTCGTGAATGTAGTTCCTCTTCCATAAATCTCACGTCTACAGTTAGATTTGCATTTTTTCTAAATCAGGCATATATTTCCACAACTTTGGTAGAACTGTGATATACTTTTAGTCATTCTGTGATTTTACTTCCTCACAAAATCATTCTTAATAGACACAAGTCATTTTTCTTTGATTTATTAGTAACATTCATGCTGCCTGTGGTTAACATTGCTAATTGTTATTATGACAAATTGCCTTTTTTTTTAGGTATTAAAATGGACTGTTCAATGACAAGTGTGTTGATAAATCTGATGTACAGATACTATGCATAGATGAGACAAGCACTTTGGGTGCTGCTAGTTTATTTGCCTGGGGATGGGGAGGGAGTTGTGGTTAGAGGTTAGGAGAGTGAGGTGGGGAAGGAGGGACAGTCTATAAAAGATGTCTTATTGAGTTGGTTTCTGTTATGTGCAACTGGAGCTCAATCCTACTGGGGATCCTCTGAAGAACCATGTAGAATGAACTCAAAATTGTCCCTCCAGGTCAGGTCATTTGTGTAGAGAAATCTCCTCAATTGATTGAGAGTTGCTCTTGGGAGAATTAACTACTCCCAACTTCTGGGCTGCCCCTTGTGCAAGCAGAATGAAGAAAGGTAGAGTGACACAGTAGGGACTTGAGGGCGGTGGGGATACTTGCAGCTTGCACAGGATCTGTCTACCGCAGCGGCAGCTGAAACCCAAGGTGAACTGAGGGGGTGTAGCACAGGGCTCTAAAAGTGTCTGCTTCAAGTATTATTCAGAAAATATTCAAAAGAGAGCAACCATTTACTACACTCATCCCATCAACAGTACCTTAACTGTTGACCTGGTATGGCTAAATAGTTGTTTGCTTTTTCACAAATTAAAGGTAAGTTGCTTTGAGCCCTTCCAAATTCCAGAGCCAGTCAGATAGATATATCTATATCTTTATCTATATCTATCTATCTCTCCACTGATCCAGTCAAGATTTCCTTTATGTTGCACTGACTTTGAGTTAATAATGTGTATTACTTGAGTAATAATTGTGTATTGATATTAATTCTTAAATAACATTAATTGACAGTTAATTAAATTGGTCTTTGTAAGGAAATTGCTCCTCCCTAGTCTTGTATGTGTGTTTCTCTGGTACAAAGCTTGAGATTGTCTTGTGATTTCAAGATGATGACTATCCTTTTGTGACTTACTTTACAAGAGTGAAGTCAGGGCTTCATAGGTCACAAGGCGCATTACCTCTTGAAAGGTACCATTGACAGGGAAAGAGGGCCGTCCTCAGGGAGGGAACTGAGTTTGAAAGCTTAGGTTATTGAGTGGTGGGTGCTGAAGAGAATCTCTCTTGGAAGCCAGCCAGAATCCGGATAGGATGAGCAACTTAAGCTTAGAGAAAAAAAAAATCATAGTTTATAGTCCAGATTCTCTAGATCCAAGTTTCTCTCTGTGGATATTTTTCTTTTATTGTCTTTTGGCATTAAATAAAATCTTGTTGAAATGTTTTAGTCCATTCCCCATCATGCTCCTGGATATTAAATGAAAGATTTGGTGTTCACAATTGGCTCTTAGTGTTAAGGACCAATAGCATCCACGTCTTGTGTCCTGGTGGTGGTTTATGAATAAGGGAATCTCCAATCCATTGGGGAGATTTCCTCCCTCTTTGTCTTTTGTTAAAGAAGGTAGTAGTTTCCTACAGTGTCTCGCTATGAATGGGGTCTCCTTAACTATTGTTTCACCTTCTACAATAGTTGATTTAATTCATCTGTCTTCTAAATCACGTTGATTCAAAGTGGTCTTTTGCACTGAAATAACAAATGTAGGGTTTAATTCTTCTCCATATATTGTTTCATATTAGTGATCTATTTGACCACTTAGTATTAGGGATTGGTTCAGAGGCTGGTCTTATTAACATCTTTATAAACGATGTGGAAAGGGAAGTGTTCAGAATGAAATTCCCAAGTTTTCCAATGACCCTAAGCACTTCTGGTTAATGAAATGCCAAACAGGTGGGGATAAACTGCAGGAAGACCTCATGAAGCTGCTTTAGTGGACATAAAGTTGACAATTGAGCCTCAGAGAGGACAAAGGTAAGATAATGAGCCAATACCTTTAGAAAGAAAATAATCCAAACTATACTTGCAGAGTAATGGGCTTGGAGCTATCCCTTACAACTCAGGGATCATTATAGACTCTTCTCTGAAGACAGTGACGAGTCTATTAAAGGCTGATAAAATTCTGACAGTCACCAGGAAGGGAAGGGAAAAAAATAAAACACACTATCCTCCTCTTACAGAAAATCGTAGTGCAGATGTGCTGTTATTTATGGTTCTGATCACTACATTCAAGGATATAATGAAAAAGAATGCACTGAAGAGTAAGACATCTGAAAGAACCAAGAATGGCAATGCTGCCATGTAAATGGAGACTAAAAAGATACAAACTCCAATATAGAATGGCAAAATTTGAGAGAAAATAGAGCCAAAACCTTCAAAATCCTTAAGGATTCTATTTCTTATGTGAAAACTAGGTAACTCTCTTAAAAGAGGTAAAACAAAAGGCAAAAACCAAAGGAATTTTTAATTGATAGATTCAGCAGAGAGTGGATTTATGAAACTTATTTCCTAGAGAGATAGTTCCTGATGAAAGTAAAATTTCCAAAAAGAATTTAATAAGCTCTTGTAGTATGCATTTTAATTGTTATTGAAGGGGGAAATAATAATTGTGGATTTATTTCTAGCTTTCTAAGCTGAATATCGGTGTGTGTGTGTGTGTGTGTGTGTGTATACCTGTTCTTATTGTCTGTCCTTTGGTGTCCATCAGAGACAGAAAATAAAGCAAAAAAAAAGCACCTCCTTAGAACCAATAGTTTCATGAGTTGAGAAGTTAAAGATGGAGATGTATAATTAGTACATGAGTTTCTCACACATCTGTCACATCATATTGTTTAGTTACTATTGAGACAAGGCAGTGAACATCTAACAGATTTAATCTTTGTAAAACAGAAACATTTCTCAACATTTTTCTTTCTTAAGAAAATTAATGAATACTCATCTGGGGGAGAGTAGCCAGTATTAGCAAAATCCCTGCTGAAACAACCTGAAACCTCAGGAATTTCTTCATGATTTGAGTTTATGTGTTTCAAATAACTGGACCACAACCTTAATTGTTATAGTACTATTGATTTTCAATAACTAATTAAGAGTACCCTGGGGTAGAATCAGTCAGGTATAGTGTGATTGGCACTTGATATTATTCAAAAACAATCATAGAATGATTCATTTGACAGCCATGCATAGACCCAGTCTACTTCTAAGGAAATTATACTTTGCTGGCTAAGATCTATTTTCATTTGTCTACTAGATTTTTAGGGATGAACAATAGTAAAAAATTATCTAAGATAGGAGTCAGCAAACATTTTATGAAAAAGTCTAGATAGTAAACATTCTAGGCTTCCTGGGCTGTGTGTTCCCTGTTACGGTTACTCAATTCTGCTGTTGTAGCACAGAGACAGCCCTAGGCAATACATAAACAAATAGGTGAGGCTATTTGTTCCAATAAAACTTCATTTCCAAAAGCAGGCACCATGCCTGATTTGGCCTGTAGGTCAGCTGGCATCTAAACTAAGGGGGAGAGGATATTAATGAAACATAACTTATGCACGCTTCGCAAAGTAAAAACATTCAATTAAAGCATCTATTTCACAGGAATCCCCTTTAGTTTAACTTGTGTATACAGCAGGCCTTTACTTTTCAGACCTGTTCTGCTCTGCCCAGGGTTTTATGTTGAAAAGAGTGTGGGATTTGCAGACAGACGGCCTGGGCTCAGGTCCTGTTCTTTTACTTGCTACCTGTGTGACCGTGGGCAAGGGGCTTAACTGTTCTGTTTTAGTTCTTTCTTCATAAAATGGGACTATAATAATGTTTAGTTGTGAGAATTAAATGAGATAATATTAACGAGAAGGATTTTGTAAAAGTCACCTGTAAACTCTTAAATCCAGTAGCAGATAGTTACTGCTATCACTATCCTGGGTCATTGCTTAGCAAGTACCATTTTCCTCCCTGTGAGTATCTTCACAGGCTCATTAGCTCTGTGTACTTTCCCTAATGAGAAGTAGGCTAATCCAAGGAGGATCTTGCAATATAATATACTTCACTAAAATAATTAAATTACCCATTAATCATAAGGTTTTAAGAAATGCACATTTGCAGAGACAAAGAAACCCTAATGTTTGTAAAAAATAAGAGAAGTGGTAGTAGCTAACATAAATAATAATAGGAATTTAAGATGGTTAGAGGGTGAGAAATTAGAGAAAATAAAAGAAATGGAAGATGAAAGATAAATCCAGGGGCAAAACCAAAATAAGGCTAACAATGGGAGTTTAGGAGGGAAAAGAATTAAAAGGGTAAAGTTAATGAAAATAGGTCTAGTTCAAGGTAAATATCAGAGTCGCAGGCAAAGCACTGAGTAGGAAGTTTGCAGCTCTGGGTTTATCTGTCCCCATTGCCAGTGTGACCGTCTAACTTCTACACTTGTGTTAGTTATTACACTTGAGACCTTCCCATTTGTATGTGTGTTTACTGACAGGCATCCAAAGATAAGGACCAGGGAAACATTTAAAATAATAGCCCACAGTTCTATTGGTTCTGCATTTCTAATCAGAGAAAGCTTCCTTAGGAAAAATGACGCCCATGTGCCCTGACTACAAAATGAGTTAAATGAAGATTAAATAACAGACTTGTTAATCAGGACTTGGGGTAGACTTAAATTTTCACAGTCCATTTTCTCGTTCTCACTTTCTCGCTCTTTCAAGCCTGTATTCCTGCTTATACATTCTCACAACACACATCCACACCCACGCACGCCTGTCATACTTTCTCTACCCAGATGGATAAAATGGACTGAAGTTGGGTGCACCAATGTGTCTTTTATAATCAGTATTCACTGTCTCAGAGTCAGAAAAATGAGGGGAAAATAAAAAGCATACTTTTTTTTTGAAAGCATAGAGAAGTGACATTCCTACTTTTCTTCTTGTTATGACTCAAACTAACCTATCTAGGTACCACGTTCATATTAAGTGAATACTCAGTTCCACCATCTGGCAAACAGAAGGTTAAAAGTATGACTGTTTAAGGAGAAACAAACAGTTTAAGAGGGTTTTTATTTTCACCTCAAAAAAGAAGTATTTGAAATATGTCTCCTCATCCCCAAACATAGTTATTTTCAGTCACTGGATTATATGTGGACTTGGCTATAACAGAAAAAATGTAAAAACACAGTGAAGAATTGTATCTTTTGTTAATTGGGAGTTTTAGTGGATTTGGAAGTTTTGGCTCACTGGTAAAGAAAGAACAACTACCTATGGGGAACAAGGAGAATGGGAGTGGTTTGATCTGTGAGAGAAACGAATTGATTGAGAAACACTGAAAATTCTATGAAACACTACCTAGGGTCCCCAAAGAGAGAAAATCTTCTCAGAAAAAATTTAAGGTCAACATATTAATGACATTTTCATATTTTTTGTGAGTTTAAGAATGGAAGAGAATGTGTTTTGGATACTTCCTAAATATCCAGGGAGGAAATACACGTTCTGGTGGTAGTACCATCTCTCTTTGTTTCATTTTCAGCAATTTAGGTATTATTCTGTAATGAAAAGCAGAATTTAATAGGACTTTCCTCCAAGCCCCAGATCCCCCATCTTAATAAGATAAATCATTCTGTATTCTTTTATACAACTTCTTTCTTTCTCTGATTCCAAACTTATTTAAGCCCCTTCCAGGAAAAGGAAAGAGACCTCTAGGACTATGCTTACAGTATATGTTCTTCCAAATCATAGTCCATCTAAATTCTTTTATTTTTAACCCAATTGATAGAGAAAGCAAGGAGACGACATAAGCGTGTAACAGGTTTCCCCCAGAACTCTCCTAACTCCAGGTCAGTTGTGGCTGCTACCATCAAATGGAAATAGATAACATAGGTATATGCCGACTTTTTAATTTTATTTTTACTATGGGTTCTCATCTTATCTCTATCATCCCAATATCTCTATGATCTCACTCATAGAACAGTAGTTTCCAAACATAACAGGACTGAAAGGCATGAAGACTTGAAGGAATGACCTGAATTGCATTGAAATTGCTTATCTCTAGATTGCTTTTTAGATAATTATAGATACCTGAAGTAATCAAAAACACGCACTTAAGCTTTGCAAACAGCTTGTCAAAGTCTGTTTGCTTAAGAATGCCCTGTTTTTGCTCTTTTTTTTAATGCATTACAGAAGAAACACTCCACGATGGTAACATATGATGAAAGTGACACTGATTTGGAATGTAAATATATGCATGGTGTTTTAAACCGACAGCATTTTGTATGTAAAAATACTTTTAAAAGTATAGATTATATTTGAAATTCAATAGATAGAGAATAAAACAATAACAATCATTCTATTCTAATTTATTTTTGCTGAGGCAGATCAGCTCTGAGCTAACATCTGTTGCCAGTCTTCCTCATTTTTTTCTTGAGGAAGATTAGGCCTGAGCTAATATCCATGCCAATCCTCCTCTACTTTATATGTGGGTCACTGCCACAGCGTGGCTGACAAGTGGTGTAGGTCTGTGCCTGGGATCTGAACCCATGAACGAGGGCTGCTGAAGTGTAACGCGCTGAACTTAACCACTATGTTATGGGGCCAGCCCCCATTCTATTCTAATTTTTAAAGTGTACATTGGAAGAGGATATTCACCAAGGGTGTAATTTTTTACTTCGTAAGAAAAGAGTGAATATGTTAGTTATTTTTTAATACTTGGCTATAAAGTGGAGCTGGTTGAAAAACTGGCTTTTTATTAGATGGAATTATATAGAATTTGTGATATTCAAATCTTTTAATCTACACATACGGTAATTTCACATGGTTTAAGCTAAAATATAGGGCTTCCTCAAAAGAATGTCTCTCCAAAAAGGATTCTTTTAAAAACAGCAACTCTCACGTTTCTTATATTTTGAATAGCATCTTAAATTTTGCAATTATACCACTTGTAATTTATCAGATAAATATTTGTTCCTGCTATTTCCCAGGGCTATTTCCTGGAAATCAGGTGGAAACATTTAGAATCCTCATGGATTTAAGGCTCTAATCTATATTTTTGAAGTCTTGAATATAGCCATTGGTTTGCCAGGACAATTTAATGAGTTTTATTACATTTACATACTCATGCATCTGCCACCACAATCAAAATGTAAAACATTTCCTTCATCTCACATTATTCTCCTTTACAGGCAATGCCCTCATACCCCTAGGCAACCACTGATCTGATTTATATCACTATGGATTAATTTTACCTTGCATAGAACTTATAAAAGTAGAATTATATAGTATGTGCCTTTTTGTTCCTGGATTTAGCCAGCATAATGTTTTAGAGATTCATTCATGTTGTTGTGAGTATCAGTAGTTCATTTATTTTTATTGCCATGTTGTAGTAGTTCATTGTGTGGAATATACCATAATTTTGTTTATCCATTCACCTGGTGATGGACTGTTATCAGTTTTTGGCTATTATGAATAAAGATGCTATGAATACTTGTGTACAAAACTCTGTGTTTTCATTTCTCTTTGGCAAGTACGTAGGAGTGGAATTGCTGTAAATGTATGTTTATCATATAGTAAATGTATGTTTAACTTTTTAATAATTAACAAATTGTTTTTCAAAGTGGTAATACCTTGATTTTTGTTTCATGGCCTCTTTATTAATTTTCTTGTTGCTGCTATAACAATTTCATAAATTTAGTGGTTTAAAACAACACATATTTATTATCTTACAGTCCTGAGGGTCAGAAGTACAAAATGAATCTTCTGGGACTACCGTCAAGGTGTTGGTAGGGCTGGTTCCTTATGGAGGCTGTGAGGGGAGAATCCATTTCCTTGTCTTTCTCATATTTACCTGGATAATCGAGGATGATTTCTTATCTCACAACGCTTAATCACTTATATGCAAAGTCCCTTTTGACATGTAAGGTAACAGTCGCAGGTTCTGAGGATTAGGACCTGGACATCTTGGTGGGCCATTATTCAGCCTACCATACTCTCTAACTTTCTAATCAAGTAATTTCAGCTAAAATTACTCATTTAGCCAAAACTCTAAGGTGCATAAAAGTTCTTTGCATGACTTCCCTAGGCTTACTAGCTATTAGCAATTGGTGGTTACTATGTGCCAAATACTGTTTCATAGAGTTGACAAAAATGCAGGATGATATAGGATCAGGGTCTTTTTTTCCATCACTGAAAGGAGATGAAAGTCTGATCAGCTTGGTAGGGAAGAGGAAAATCTGAGAGGGCCCTACTGGTGCTTTAGTGGGGCCAGAAAGGGCCCTGCTTACTTCTGTTCTTTGGAATCTAAAGCCCGGAGGGAGGGCAAAAGGAAGTCCAGTTAAGTGTGTGGGGATTGCAGAGCAGATGGGACCATGGTAGAGCTTCGCAGGGTGCGGCCTCCAAACTGCAAAGTTCAGAGAAGCCCCAAGTGCATCATCATGCCTGAGTGGTAGATTGACCATGCTGAAGATGTCTGATCAGTAGGTTCAGGATAGCCTCTCAGAGCCTCATGCACTCTAGTGGGAGAGACAAGAGCTAAATGTAGGCCAGTAATCCCAAAGAGGGCTAGTGGTTTATTCACTGATGACCAGAGACTATGACAGGACAGGCTTGTCAAAGTCAGGACAGGCATCAAGCGACAAAGTGGTACTCAAAGATAGAGCGAACAAAACACTCAGCATTGCAACATTGGCCAGTGAGGACCGAGGATGTCACACTTCATAGGCATTCCTGGCCTGATGCTAGAGACAAGGTGAGCCTCACAGAACTTAGATTATCCTTGGGGAAATGGGGAAAGAGAAAAGCATGAAATAATAGACTTTTAAACCCAAAGAGATTGAGGCATATCTGGAAGTGACTGAGCCACCTAGAATTAGGAAGATTAAGTTTTCCATTAAAGCAAATTTGAGAACTAATTGAAAATGAGTTATAGAAAAAAAAAGTTACATTTTAGCAAACCTGACTTGTATTGCCTGAGAGCCTCATGCTCCTTATATAGAGAGAAGGTATACAAAAATACTTTAACAAAGGTAGTGTAATTACCAGGCTTGACAAAGATTACTGGGCCATAAATATTGATCTTTGAGGTTTCAGATGCCTTGTTGTTAGGATCATCAGGAATATTAGACCTAGAGATTTTTGTAGAGAGTAATCTTAGAGGTTAACCTTCCTTAAGATCACTGAGAAGATTGTAAGGGTTGGTATGTGTGAAAAGTTAAAGGAAAGTTTTACTTGCATGTGAAAGACCGTCATTTTTATTTTTTAAATGGCAGAGCCGTAATCTCTTAACTGCAGTATTTCCTTTTCCATAATATCATATACATTGTCTTCCATTTCATGAATTCTCCTTTCCTATCCCGACTACTATAAGATGGCGGTATCAGATGATGGTGAAAAGAAACATGTTCAGGTTCTTCAATCTTCAAGTCACACAAAGCAGGGCAATCTTAGGTGTCTGACTAGTTGTTAATAACAGCTTGAAAATGTGAGTGTCACTGGGCTGTATTTTCTGCAGTTCATCATTTTGGCAATTGAATGTGAGATATTTTATAGGGGAGGGGTGGGTAGGAGAAGTTGCAGATCTAGCCTCCATTTCCTGTTGATTGTAATCACGTTTGTCACTCACCTGCTTGAACTGCTGAAACTCTTCAAGAGCCTGATTGTGCAATCCTCCTGTTAAGTGGAAAAAAGTCTCCCCTGCCTCTTAGCAAATCATGGTAAACATGTCAACACATTGTGGGATGTGGTAAACTTTTGAATATGTGAATATCTGATGAAGAGATCTTTTTGCTGGAAACTTTTGTGTTGGTTCAATAGGCAGGACTAGCTATCTACTTTGTTTACCTTCAGGTATCTGAGACGATTAGACACACATGCTGGGACAGGGGTCAGCTCTCTGTGAAATGCATGGAAACACATTGAACACACAGGCTTTTGAGCTCCCCCCAGCCTAGTGTTTTAAAACGAGAGGTCCTGCCTCTAGGATGGTGCCTACATGTTCCAAAATAGATACACTAATTTCAGTACAAAGTGTGGTTAGATTTTTTTTTCTGGATGTTTGCAGCACATTTGTACAAGTTGTTAAAAGACTTGTTTTGCTGAATTTTCATTAGCACATTCTTAGTGAGATGGTAACATTCAATATCACTGACAAATATATTGGGCATCTCTAATAGGAGTTTTTCTAATTATTGGATGTAGATTTGCAGGAGATGGTAGAAATTCTAAATACTGATAATTTAATAAATCCAACGATTACTGTGATGACCCTAATATTCCAGCTAATACACAGCTACACTTATCGAGCACTTATTCTGTTCCAGGCATTGTTCACAATGCTTTCCATATGTTACCTTATTAATCACAACAACCGTATGAGGTAGGTATTACTATTATCCCCATCTTAAAGATGAGGAAACTGAGGCACTGAGGGGTTAACTACTTTACTCTAGGTTACATAGCTAGTGAGTGGTAAAGCTGTGTTGGAAATAGAGTCACTCCAGCTCTATAACCAGTATTCTTAATTGCTATGCTAATTATATTCCACTTTCTTTAGTCTTTTTTTCTAATTTTATTTTTTATTGACTTTATTTTTTTAGAGGAGTTTTAGGTTCACAGCAAAATTGAAGGGAAAATACAGAGATTTCCCATATACCCCTGCCCACACACGTGCATAGCCTCCCCCCATTATCAATATCCCTCATCAGAGTGGTACATTTGTTACAACTGATGAACTTAACATTGATACATCATAATCACTCAAAGTCCATAGTTGACATTAGGGTTCACATTCTATGGGTTTGGACACGTAATGTATAATGACATGTATTCATCATATCATTCAGAGTATGATACCCTAAAAATCCTCCGTACTCCACTTATTCATCCCTTCCCTCCCAACCTCCCAATAACTGATCTTGTTACTGTCTCCATGGTTTTGCCTTTTCCAGAATGTCGTTTGTTAAAATCATACAGTCTGTAGCCTTTGCAGATTGGCTTCTTTCCCTTAGTAATATGCATTTAAGTTTCCTCCGTGGGATCTTAATTTCCTTTTAGCTCTGGATAACACTCCGCTGTCTGGAGGTACTACAGTTTATTTACCCATTCACCTACTGAGGGACAACTTGATTTCTTCCAAGTTTTGGCAATTATGAATAAAGCCACTATAAACATCCATGGACAGGTTTTTGTGTGGACATAGTTTTCAACTCACTTGGGTGCATACCAAGAAGCATTATTGCTCGATCTTATGATAACAATGTATTCAGTTTTGTAAGAAATCACCAAACTGTCTTACAAAGTGGCTGCACCATTTTGCATTCCACCAGCAATGAGTTCCTGTTGTGCCACATCCATGTCAGCATTTGGTGTTGTCAGTGTTCCAGATTTTGGCCATTCCGGTATGTGTGTAGTGGTATCTCGTTGTTTTATTTTGCATTTCCCTGATGACATATGATATGGAGCATCTTTTAATATGCTTATTTGCCATGTGCATATCTTCTTTGGTGAGATGTCTGCTAAGATCTTTGGCCCATTTTTAAATTAGGTTGTTTATTTTCTTATTGTTGAATTTTAAGAGTTCTTTGTATATTTTTGATAATGGTCCTTTACCAGATGTGTCTTTTGAAAATATTTTCTCTCACTCTGTGGCTTGTCTTCTCATTCCCTTGACATTGTATTTTGCAAAGCAGAAGTTTTTGAGTTTAATAAAGCCCAGCGTATCAATTATTTCTTTCATAGATCATGCCATTGGTGTTGTATCTAAAAAGTCATTGCTCTACCCACAGTCTTCTAGGTTTTCTCCTATGTTATCTTCTTGGATTTTTATAGTTTTGCATTTTACACTTAGGTCTGTGATCCATTTGGAGTTAATCTTTGTGAAGAGTGTAAGTTCTGTCTCTAGATTCATTTTTTTTCATGTGGAGGTCCAGTAGTTTCAGCACCATTTGTTGAAGAGATTGTCTTTGCTTCATTGTATTGCCTTTTCTCATTTGTTAAAGGTCAGTTGCCTCTATTTATATGAGTCTATTTCTGCACTGTCTATTGTGTTCCATTGATCTATTTGTCTGTTCTTTCACCAATAACACACTGTCTTGATTACTGTAGCTTTATACGAAGTCTTTTTTTCCCCCTCCTTAGTGTTATAATAGAGGGGGACATTTGAGCTTGATAAAGGTTAGAATGTGAAACTAATATGATTTTCCCCTCTTCTTTTCTTTTTTTCCTGCTGTGTCCCTTAGTCTTCTGCTTGAAGAGACTTTAGAACACTGTGGATATCTGATGAGAAAACTGTCCTGAGGCTTTCCTACCTAAAATTCACTATTTTGAGGCTACTCTGCCAAATTGGTCTTGGCCTTTGGTAAGTAGTTTCTTTGCAAGTATCTTCCCATCATCAGAGAACTTAGGTTCTGAATTCCAGTCAATGTCTGAGCCATTTACATTCCCAGAGTTCCAACCAGCCTTTCCACAAAGTTTTAACAGGGTTATCACCTCATATCAAATGAACATCCTGATGATAATCTAGTCTTCATCTGATGCTGAGAACTGACGCTATCTAGAATTTTTATGTACTCAAATATCTTCCTGATTTTTTTCTGTCTCAGCACTTAACATACATCTAGACTCAAAAATTTGAGGACAGAAATAGTGTCTTCTTTACAATTGTATCTCTAGGACCTAGTAGTATTGGTTGACTAAATGAAGACCTGTATCAGGTAAGACTCTTTCAACTGCTAATGACAGATAACCCAACTCAAACTAGCTTAAGCAAAAACCAAAAAATCCCCCAGCACATTAGTTCCTGTAACTGCAAGGTCCAAGGCTCAAGTAATGTTATAAGGACCTCCTCTTTTTGCATTTTTTGTTCTCCTCTCTGCTATGCTTGGCTTCACTCTCAGGCAGGCCTTCTTTAGATGGAGGCCGTTAGTACAGCAAATGCAACTTTTAGTTTTGATTTGTCCCTACTGAAGTCAGGTAGCGTCAGTCCTCTTGTTCTTCTCCTTCAATATCATGTTGGCCATTCTAGGTCTTTTGTCTCTCCATATAAACTTTAGAGTTAGTTTGTTGATGTCTACAAAATAACTTGCTGATGTTGATTGGGATTGTACTGAATCTGTAGATTGAGTTTGGAAGAACTGAGTCTTGACAATATTGAGTATTCCTATCTATGAACATGGACTTTCTCTCCATTTATTTAGTTCTTTGATTTAATTCATTACAATTTTGTAGTTTTCTTCGTATAGATCTTGTACCTATTTTATAAGATTTATACCTAAGTATTTCATGTTTTTGGGTCCTAATGTAAATGTTATTGTGTTTTTAATTTCAAATTCCATTTGTTCATTGCCAGTATATAGGAAAGTGATTGATTTTAACTTTGTATCCTGCAACCTTGGTATAATTACTTATTAGTTCCAGGAAGGGTTTTTTTTGTTGATTCTTTCATATTTTCTACATAGACAATCATGTCATTTATGAATAAAGATGGTTTTATGTCTTCCTTCCCAATCTTTATTTCTTTTATTTTTCTTTTCTTGTCTTATTGCATTAGCTAAAACTTCCAGTATGAAGTTGAAAAAGAGTGGTGAGAGGGGACATCTTTGTCTTGTACCATACCTGATCTTAGTGGGAAAGTTTTCAGTTTCTCATCATTAAGTATGATGTTAGCTGTAGGATTTTTGTAGCTGTTCTTTATCAAGTTGAGAAGTTCCCCTCTAGTCTTAGTTTACTGAGAGTTTTTATCATGAATCAGTGCTGGATTTTATCAAATACTTTTTCTGCATCTATTGAGATGATCATGTGATTTTTCTTTTTTAGCCTGTTGGTGTGATGTATTACATTAATTGATTATAAAATGTTAAACCAGCCTACTTGGTTGTGGTGTATAATTCTTTTTATACATTGTTGTGTTTGGCTAAAATTCTGTTGAGTATTTTTGTATCTATGTTCATGAGAGATATTGGTCTGTAGTGTTCTTTTCTTATTATGTCTCTGTCTAGTTTTGCTATTAGGGTAATACTGGCCTTATAGAATGAATTAGGAAGTAGTCCTTCTGCTTCTATCCTCTGAAAGAGATTATAGAAAATTTGTATAGTTTCTTCCTTAAGTATTTGGTAGAATTTACTGGTGAGCCCATGTGGCCCTGATGCTTTCTGTTTTGGAAGATTATTAGTTATTGATTCAATCTCTTTAATAGATATAGGCCCATTCATATTGTCTATTTCTTCTTGTGTGAGTTTTAGCAAATTATGTCTTTCAAGGAATTAGTCCATTTCATCTGGGTTATCAAATTTGTGGGCATAGAGTCGTTCATAGTATTTCTTTATTATCCTTTTAATGTCCATAGGATCTGTAGTGATATATCCTTTTTTATTTCTGATATTAGTAATTTGCATCTGCTCCCTATTTTTTTAGTTAGCCTGTCTAGAGGCTTATCAATTGTATTGATCTTTTCACAGAACCAGCTTTTAGTTTTGTTGATTTTCTCTATTGATTTCCTATTATCAATTTTATTGATTTCTGCTCTAATTCTTATTATTTCTTTTCTTCTGCTTTGGATTTAATTTGCTCTTTTTTTTTTAGTTTCTTAGGTTGAAACTTAGATTATTGATTTTAGATTTTTCTTCTTTTCTAAAATATTAATTCAATACTATAAATTTCTGTCTAAGCACTGCTTTTGTTGCATCACACAAATTTTAATAAGTTCTATTTTCATTTTCCTTTAGTTCAAAATATTTTAAAATTACTCTTGAGATTTCTTCTTTGACCCATATGTTATTTAGAAGTGTGTTATTTAATCTCCATGTATTTTGGATTTCCAATTATTTTTCTGTTAATTTCATTGTGATCTGAGGGGAGACATTATATGATTTCTATTCTTTTAAATTTTTTAAGTTAGGTTTTGTCACCCAGAATGTGCTCTATCTTGGTGAGTGTTTCATGTGAGCTTGAGAAGAATGTGTATTCTGCTGTTGCTGGATGAAGTAGTCTATAGATGTCTATTGATTGATGGTGTTATTAAGTTCAACTATGTTCTTACTGATTTTCTGTCTGCTAGATCTGTCCATTTCTGATAGAAGGGTGTTCAAGTCTCCAACTATGATAGCGGGTTCATCTGTTTCTCCTTGCAATTCTATTAGTTTTTGCCTCACATAGTTTGATGCTCTGTTGTTAAGCACATACATATTAAGAATTGGTATGTCTTCTTTGCAAATTGACCTCTTTATCATTACGTAATGCCCTTTTTTATCTCTGATAACTTTCCTTGCTTTGAAGTCTGCTCTGTCTGAAATTAGTATAGCTACTCCTGCTTTCTTTTTATTAGTGTTAGTATAGCATATTTTTCTTCATTCATTTACTTTAAATCTATGTGTCTTTATACTTAAAGTGGGTTTCTTGTAGACATAGTTGGGTTGTGTTTTTTGATCTCCTCTGACAATCTTTTTTTTTTTGTTTTTTTTGGTGAGGAAGATTGGCCCTGAGCTAACATCCATGCCTATCTTTCCTCTACTTTATACGGGACGCTGCAACAGCATGGCTCGACAGGAGGTGCCTCAGTGGGCGCCTGGATCCGAACCCCGGGCCACAGAATTGGAGCGTGCGCACTTAATCTCTTTTGCCACCGGGCCGGCCCTCACTGACAATCTTTTTTAATTGGTCCATTTAGATCATTGACATTCAAAGTGATTATTGATATAGTTGGATTAATATCTACCTTATTTGTTACTGTTTTCTTTTTGTTACCCTTTTCTTTGTTCCTATTTTTGTCTTCCACTTTTTTTCTGCCTTTTGTGGTTTTAACTGAGCATTTTATATGATTACATTTTCTCTCCTTTCTTAGCATATCAGTTATACTTTTTAAACTTATTTTTAGTAGTTTCCCTGCATTTATAGCTAATTCAAGTCCACTTTCAAATAACACTATACCTCTTCACAAGTAGTGTGAGTACCTTATAATAACAAAATATGAATTTTGGTGGGTACACAAACAGTCAGTCTATAGCAGCCCACCAGCATGAACACTTTTTAATATTGCCTCCAATTATCAATAAATGACGAATTTTTTAGTGAAGCCATTAGGAAATAAGAATCTTTTTTTTTTTTTTTTTCCTGATGGAAAAGCTCTGAAAAAGAATAAGAGAGATAGAGCGACTAGAAAGGAAGAGAAGGGAAGGCAAGATATAGTGACAATTGAACAGGAGAAAGGGTGATAATATTAAAAATAACAATAATTAATAATAACATTTGTTGTGTGTTTCTTCTGTGATAGGAACTCTGTTAGGCAACTTGTATATATTACTTCATTAAATCATCAAAAATATCTGATAGGTGCATGCTTTTATTTTATCTATTTCTATATGAAGAAAAGGGCATGGAGAAGTTAAGCAACTTGCCCAACATTATGCAGCTAATACCTGGCAGAGTTAGGATTTGAACTCAGGCTCAAATGTCTTTTTTCCTCAGCCACCTTACTAGAGGGATTGAAAAAAAATCTCATGATGATAATTTGGGATAAGGCTATCCGTAGAGGCACCAAGTTGGTCTTCTTTTGGGATTGCCAACATTTTACTTGCAGTTTAATAATTATAGTCTAAATGATCTATATCACTCCCAAGAATTGTTATTGAGAATCACAATGTCAAGCATAGATTAGGAGGTTAATATGGGGACAGCTATGTTAAAATTTTAATAGTGGGGCCTAAACTTGTAATGTTTTGACAGCCTTAAACACCATTCTCCCCTCATCCTGCCCCAGGAACACGTAGTTATAAATGAGTGAAAGAGGACTGTGATGCTAAGAGTCAGGAGGAGTCCTTAGCAGGAGAGTGGACACTATGACCCAGTATAACATAACAGAATGCTGAAGGACTTTTTGGAGAGAAGAGATGATGGAAACACAAGAGTTTCAAAGCATAGAAAGAGGAAAAGCTGGGTTTGGGGGTCAGGGAACAGCAGCTTGTAGTGGATGTGGTTATGGCATCACTGTGGCTTCTACCTAAGTCAGCTCTCTATGGTTTTAGATAGTGTCAAAGATGAAAGAATCTTAGTCTCCCAAAGATCCAGAGGACTAGAGGCCAATACAGAGCTGAAAGTAGAAACAAGATGAGTGGGAGCGGAAGAGACTGAGATCAAACTTCATGAACTAGATTAAGGCCTATCTCTTGAAAGAGCAGTAACCTCTGGTGGGGATTGCAGAATTCTCTGAATCCTTGAAGAAGCTTGGGTCATGTGGAGTGGTTTGCATGTGGAGTGACTGACTACACAAGATCCCAATTATGAATACCCTCAGGAGAAGTTATTCTCACATGTCAGCAATATTAATTTGTTTGCTCAACAAACATTTACATTATCACACTGGCAATAATGAGATGGAGAGAGAGACTGAAGGAGGTTAGACCAGAAGCAAGAAGACCAAATGTCAAGATTAAAAATATGAAGATAGAGATCTTTGTTGTCATCAGCATTATGGTCATTTAAAGATAAAGCATTTATCCCCAATTTTCTAACTTTTGCTGTTTGCCAAATTTGTGCCTCATTTTTAAAGAATCAACTTTTGATTTGGCTGATTCTCTTTATTGTATGTTTGTTTTCATTTCATTAATTTTTTTATGTGCTTTCTTTTCTTTTTTTTTTCTATTTTATTTAGGCTGTTCTTTTTCTTTACTGAAATGGAAAAGAATGCTTAGGTAATTGGATTTCAGCCTTGCTTTCCTTTGTGTGTTCATTTAAGGTCATAATCTCAGCTTTAACTGCATCTCACAAATTTTGATAAGTAGTATTTTCACTATTATTCATTTAGAATATTTTCTAATTTCAAGATTGTGATTTCTTCTTTGGCCCTTTGATTATTTAGAAGTGTATTTATTAATTTTCAGACGTAATTTTTTTATTATTGTTTTAGTTTATTTCCATCGTGGTCTACTTTGTACAGACTTTGTACACAATTTCAATTTATGGCCCAGTATGGTCAGTTTTTGTCAGTGTTCTGTGGGCATCCAAAAAGAATGTGTATTTTGCAATTGTTGGATGTAGTGTCTGGTATATGACAATAGGTTATATTTGTTAAATATGTTGATAAAATCTTCAATGTTTTTATTAATCTTTTGTCGGCTTTTTCTATCAGTTTCTGAGAGAAGAATTGTTGTATCTTCCTGGTGAATTGGGCCTTTTATATTATGAAATGTCTTCTTGAGCCCTAGAAATGCTTTTTGCCTTAAAATCTAGTTAGTTTGATATTGATATGGCTATACCAGCTTTCTTTTGGTTAATGTTTGCAGTATATATCTTTTTTCTTTTATTCTTTTACTTTCAATCTTTCTGTATCCTTATATTTGCTTGTTTCTTGTGTAGGCTGTAAATAGTTGAGTTTTGTCTTTTTAATTTCACTCTGACAATCTTAGTCTTTTAATTGGCACAATAAGCCATTCACATTTAATGCAATACTGATATATTTGGATTTAAATCTACTATATTTCTATGTGCTTTCTATTCACCCCAACTCATCTATTTTTTCTTTTCTTTCCTTTTTTAGATTGATTCAGTATTTTTTCTATTTTTCTGATGTCCCTCTTTATTATCTTAGTATCTTATCTATACATTCTTTTACTATTCTTTTAGTGGTTACACTAGAGATTAAGGTATGCATCCTTAAATTATCAAAATAATGTAAATTAGTACTCTTTTCTTTTTCTGAGTGATACATGCACCTTAGTACACTTGAACTCTGTTTATCCCGCTCACAATTTTTATGCTATTTTTGCCATCTCTTTTAATTCTTGGTAAATTTTAAAGTTCATAAGACATTATTGCTATTGTTTAAACAATCAATATTTATTTAGAATTACCCACATGATTACCATTTTTTTACCCTTATTTTTTTTCTTGAATCTCTGACATTCTGTTTGGGATCATGGCCCCCCAGCCTGAAGAATACTCTGTAGAATTTCCTTCAGTGTGAGTTTGAAATCAACAAATTCTCTGTTTATAATTGTCTTAAAATAATTTATTTATCCTTAGTTTTTGGAAGATGTTTTCCCTCAGTGGCACATTCTAGGTTGACAATTTTTGAAGCTACTGTCAGCTTTAAATTTCAATTGCTTTTATCAATTTGAAGCTGTTCCATGGTCTTCTAGCTTCCATTATTTCTATTCATCCTTCCCAATTCTCTCTTTTCCTGCCTTTTTTGGTTGTCCAGTTACACATATGTTAGATTTTTCTTCAGTGAATCTTCTGTCTTTAACATGTTTTTCTCTATTTTCCATAGTTTTGTTTCTCTATACTTTGAATCTTTTCCTCTAACTCACTTTCAAGTTTATTAATTATCTCTTTACTTTATCTAATCTGCTCATAAACCTGTTGCATTGAGCTCTTAATTTTGGTTATTGCATTTTTGTTTTCCAAAATGTACTTTATTTAGCTCTTTGTCAAAATTCTTTGATTTCTTTTCACATATCAAGCATAGTTATTTTAAAGTCACTGTTGACATTCCTGTGGTTCTCTTTTTATTTTCTCATGTTTTTCTTGTTTTGGTCAGGTTGTTGTTTTGTGTCCTCTTATTCCTCTTCAATTTGGATTGCGTGTCTGACATTGTATATGGAACATTGTAGAGATAATTTGAGGCCTAAGAGATGGTATCTTTTGCCAAAGGATTTTATGTTGGCTTCTCAGATTTAGGGACACTCTTCTATGCCTTTAATTCAGTCAAGGATTGGGATAATTTGAAGCTTGACTATAAAAGACCTATTTTCCCTTCAGCCATCACTGACATTGTTCTAGTATTCTGAAAACAATGCTTTAACCCTCACCCCACTGCCTGCCCCAATTCTTTAATGGCTATCCATTGTCCAGAGCTTAAAATTTTAAATTACAGTGCTGGTATTCACAATTCTCTTAAATATGACTCCTATCTACCTTTCCAATCTTATCTTCCATTATTCCTCAAAATGTGCTCCCATTTTGTGAAAATAATTTATCTAGTGCTCCAGCAATATA